TCGAGACTTTTTTTTTTTTTTTTTTTTTTTTTTTTTTTTTTTTTTTATTTGCACTCGTCATACATACCTACCTCGGGATGTACGATAATTACACACAGTGTAATGACATGACGTTATAATTACACGGTGGGACGTATACGTGACATGATAAACGCGACATTTCCTCTCTCTGTCTGTTGCTCCTTTTTTTTTTTTTTTTTTTTCCACGAATGCGAGCAAAATGACGAGGTTTTAAAACATCGAAAACAAGATAATAAAGCGCAATTATATCATCATTGCGTAACTATGTATAATGTATACATCTTTCTCTCGTTGTTTCACATATACGACTCTCGATTTCCCGGTAATGATTTACAAGAGTCGCGGCGATAGCACGTTACGATGCGCGTTTGTACCGAAAATTACCATTCGGTTGAGCGGAAAGGAGGAAAAAAGATTGTCTTTTTCCGGGGAAACGAGCAAGCCGGTGCATACATCCGTTGCGTTACACGTATATATGGTTTTTCGAGAAATCAATTTCACGTGTCGTTGCGTCGTGTGATTTTTTTCGACAAAGTCACATGTATTTCTCTCTCGCAAAACGTGCATACGTATATGTATATTATACTTGCGGTTGCGATGAATTAATGGTACACATCGGACACGCTCGTTGAGTAAATTACGTGGCACGTAAGTATCGCAACTATACAACTGAGCGAGTTTTCCTTGGAATTACAACGCTATTAAATTCCTTTCCACGCCTTCGATTATCTCAAATGTAAAAAGAAAATCCATCCACCCTCGCGATTTTTCGCGGGGCGTAAAAAGTTCTTCGGTATGTATGTATATAGTACATTAGCGAAGCGTCCGACTTTACACTCCGGGGCGGAGTGTTCTAGCTCTCGCGAAATCCAATTACATTTTTTTTTAATTTAATTTTATTTTTTTTCGTTTATGATGGGTGGATATGCGTATACGAAGGATTCTTGGAATGGCCGAGCAGAGAGAGGATGCAAATTGCATCGATACGCATCGTCGTCGATGCAGCCCATTATAAATGCCCCGTCGGATGAGGGAGGGACCCGCATGTATAGGCGCTGCTCTTCGCAATTACCCGGCAATTAGTATTGGTACACACACTCGCGTATCCGTTGGATAAAATTCGTCTCGTGTATAATCATATATGCTCCGGTTTTGATTCTCTCGAGAGATACGTATATATATTACACGTTGTTTGTACCTGTGTATTATTATATCGAGTAAAATACTGTGCACTTTTAATCGGCGTGAAATTTGATAGCGTGATGGGCCCGAGGAATTTTTACACTCGCGCGTGGGTCTTTTTTTTTTTTCACAACCGAGTGGCACGCGATATGGCGTCCAACTGTCTCGAACCAGTGGGAGATAACGTTGATCAAAGCCCTGTTGATGAATATCGTGTTTAAAAAAAAAAAAAAAAAAAAAAACGGACTTGATTCAGCGCAAACTATTGCGATCTTGGTACAAGGTAATAAAGTGCGAAAAAATATTACGAACACAACGAGGATGAAATTGGTTTAATTTGTTTGCTTTTCCAAAATATGCTCAATAAACGTACTTACCCAACGTTAATTGTATCAATTGTCTCGAAAAGGAACAATTACATTCGTCCCAAGCAACTCGCGATCAAGTCACTATAAAATCGGCACCACACCGGGGCCATCATGTCAATGTGTAAAAATGTATATACACGCGTATTCAAAGCACCGATCCGTATATTTGTGCACCAGGTAAAGCCCAAAAAAGAAAGAAAGACGCGCACGTATGTATGGATAAGTCGGCTTCCCGGTAGCGCAGCTGCGAAGAGAGTCCGTTTAATTTCACGTTCCTCGTAAATTCAAAAGCCCTCCCTTTTCTCCCTTGTCCTGGGGCTCTTTGGTTAATCGCACCCTACGGATCTGCGGTGACGGGCCAAAGAGAGATACGTTCACGGAATCGAGAGAAGACAAAATATACATATATATATTTGTATGTCATAGGGGGGGGAAGCTTTTATTCGCGGATCTTTCGAGGGGGTTTTATTCATGCGCGCGTATAGTCGAGCTGACGCTGCTTGACTCGCTTCGCTGCAACATATTATGTATGTATATGTGGATGGGGGTCTGACAGGGGATTCTTTTACGGCGTGTGGGGGTTTTTATTTCTCGGCCGAGGAGGTGCCACTCGATCGAGTCTTTTTTTTCTCGATAATCGTACAAATTGGATCTTTTCAATATCACTGATGGTTGAACGTATAGGTATGGATAAGATGAAACGTGTCGTACTTTTTAACGAAAGAGGATAATCGATTCAACTTCGTTTGATCGAAGATAATAGGTGTAGGTACATATTTTACAGATAAGAGGTTTCGGGCATACGGGCGTTGTTCCCAGAAAAACTGGAGCTCATATCAAAAAGGGGACAAAGAAATTTTTACGTGATATTATTTGCGTGAAATTAAGTACGAAAATTATTTTGTTGCATACGTCTGATAAATTAAGAGTAATTTATTCATCAATTGAAAATTTACATGTGTTCGTTTATGAATACGTTTATGAAAAAAAAAAAAAATCAATGACTCGAGCGATGACTTATTGCTTTTTAGTCTAAACAGGTGCACCTAATATTATAGGTACGCTATTTTTGTACTTTGCATTGAAAATAATCCCACACTTGTGCCAATAACTATATAATTTTTTTTTTTTTTTTCATCTTCTACACTGTTTAAAAATTTGTTTAAATAATTTTTTTACGTTTATCTTGATGAGCTTGTTTGACGTATATGATTTTTCGGGAAAACGTTTAAAAAAAACGTAATAAGCGTCAAAAACATTCCAACCAAAACGTCTCCTGCTATCAAGTAATTCTTGAAACGCTGATATTATTTGAGGTCGACAAGTGCCGTGTGTGAGAATCCAACGAAAAAAGAGGCATGTAAGAGAAAAAACGTCCTTAACCTCCATCGCTCGAACCTCGTGTCGCGACTTTTCAAGCAAACACCTCGAGCTGGATGACAAGTAAAAAAAAAAAAAAAAAAAAAAAAAAAAGGCTCAATGTGCAGTGCACACGCGAGCAAGGGAAAAAGGAGGCCGGCACTTGCGACGTAAAGGAATTCGCGAAAATAAATCAATCGAAGCGCCTCGGTGGCCGTTAATTAACGGCAAATATCGGTTGGACCGCAATTTGTTCGATCGGCACATCAAAAAAACGCGACGACAACTGTATGCGATCGATTACATCACTCTTACGTACATACACACAGCGGGCAATGCAAATACACATTCCGCTGGGATGCGCTAGGCGGAATCGATTTCCTTTTTTTTTTTTTTTTCCTCCCTCTTCGATTTGCGAGTATATATACACGCTGTCGTCACATGTGCCGGGTAATGAGCTAAGCGAAATTTATTTCTCGCTCACGGCCAACTCGTACAGATTCCTGGGAGTCGCTCGCGGTGACTTGAACAAAAAACCAAGTTCTTTTTTTTTTTTTTTTTTTTTTTTTTTCCCCAAAGGAAAAGTTAAAAAAATAAAAAAAAAAAAAAAAAAGAGACGCGCACGCGACCGTATCCTCGTTTCGTTAAACGAGTTAAGTTCGAAGAGAAGCTCGTTCGCGGGCAAGGAAACCTATACAGATTCCCGAGAGATAAAAAAAGAAGAGCAGGATGAAAGGGTTGAGAGAGAGGAGTCGAGAGAAACGACGCGGCATATATTGTACCTATACACACGCACTGAAATACATTGGAAGAGAAGGAATGCTCGGAACGCGGGCGCTCTCTTTGGTGGTATAGAAGCGGTTTTACGCTTCCCTATCAATCTATCGGCTTCCTGGTAAAGAGTGACTTATCCCTTTCTCCTTTTTTTTTTTTTTTTTTCTTCTCGGACGAGCGATTCGTAATACACCTACGCTTTTCCCCTCAACCCTGGGATTCTCGATAACCACATGATGCACACAGGGAAAGAACAAAGTTTTGAGTGTGGTTTACCGCGAAAATAGAATAGATGGGCATTGTCGCGGATCTAGTCATACTTTTACGAAACCCATGAAAAATTTATTGTTAATACACGCAAGTTGTATAAACCACGAGATGAAATAACAATAAGTTCAAAAAAAAAGAAGAGTTGGCGAGTCGAGAGTAAACAGTTGGCGATCAAACACATGACGCGAATCTTGTGATATATACACGAAATCTATATACTTGAGATATATAACTCACCACATCTGTTTGCTCTGTCGTTCTTTTTTAAAAGGCCGTGCACTCTCTTCCGCAGCGGAGAAGTAGCCAAAAGTGCATATGCTGTGTCACACACACTCCATACACTTTCGCGCACTTGACACTTTTTCGCTTTTAATCGAATAAATTGTTTTCATCGTGCAATATTTTCGGAGTCACGGAGCGTCCATTTCTGTGATACTTCGCGAAACTAACCTCCTCGCTGACGTTTTTCATCCCTTTCTTCGCCACGGTCACTTTGGCCACTCCACCGATCGATATAAAACTGTTGCGTGTACGTATCGCGGGACGCGCGAGTGTGAATAAAAATTTAAAAAACAGTCGACTCGAGCCAACGAGCCTCGTTATTCAAAACACACGCACTTTGCTCGATTTGACGCGAGAGAAAACGGAGCACAGAGTGTGTGTAAAATATATATATGGATATTCGCAAACTTACACAAACAAAACACACACGCGCGCTAGACACCCTCTCGCCAAATCGGAGCTTCCACGGGCTCTGCGAGGTGGCGCGTCGCTCGCTACTTTTACCGCGTGAATTCGAACGTGTGTCTACTATAATCGGTAAATTATTGATAAGACCCGCAGTTTTTCTTTGTTGGACAGTAACGTGTACTTGCTGTGGTTCGACTGAAAGTTGGTTGATAATTGATGTGGCTTTGTGCGGTGTGTAATCGATTGCGGGAAACGTCTCCATTACAGTTTGTAAGTTTCGTATGCAGAGACCATCAATTTTTGTGCTTCCCCCCATAAACTATGTGTATATGATAGCGTATGTACCTGTATAATGTGTGCATCTTTTCTTTCTCGATAATACACAAACGATCGGAGGGAGGAGGAGGAGAATAAGAAGCGAAAAACGTTTCTCGTGAACTATTGACGTTTTTGTGGATACCAGCATCGCCGGCATCATAAATAATAATACGAGTGTGTACGTCCCGTTCAAGTGTTACTTGTATATTACCTACGTATAAGAATGGGGGATCTCGTGTACGAGGAATTGTACTCTAAAAATTTGTAAAGTAAGAGTATTTCCATGAGACTTGTTGAGTAGTGGAAAATAGTAACTCGAAAGCTTTTGTTTTCAAAACAATGTCGACGCTTCGGTCTGAGAAAGCGCCAACTTGGAGTTTCGTTCGAAAAAGCGCTAATTCACGTTCAATCGGAATTTAAGTTGGCCCTTTCTTCATGGCGATTTAAAGTTGCAGCAAAAATGATCATTTTGCTCAGTGAATTGAATACAAGTCGGCAAAAAAGGAGAAAGTTATTATTTCTAGTAGTAATTATTGTTTTAACAGTTAAAATTATGGTAGGAACAGTAAAAATTACTCTGTGAAAACAGGATAGGTTAACCATAACTTTTACTTTTTGAACCATAATTTTAACTGTTAAAAATTATAATTTTCCCCCCTTTCGTCAACTTGCATTCGATTTACGTGTAATTATCCTGTAATTTTTATTATTTCTTTCTCTCAGTATACAAAATACATTGTATCGACAACGAAATAGAGGGTTTTCCTTGACAGAAAATTAAAGAAAAAAAAAAGTGTATTGATCGTAGCTTCGCGTAGTAAAAATACATTGAAAAAAACGTTAGCTGAGCTTTCAAGTAATGTTTGTAGAAGCACGGACAATTAAACGAATCCACAACATTTTTTACTCTTTCGAGTCTTCTCGCGTACTATAAAAAAAAAAAAAAATGTCCCTCTGCGCCCGTACGAATGATAAATCAATCGACTTTGCCCAATACCCTCGTTATCCACAGCTCGTAAAAAGCATATAACATATACATATATAGGACACCTTTTACACACACTACGCCGCGCGTCGCGAAACGTATCCGGCGGTGTTTTTACCCTCCTCTAAAAATAACGGGGCGCCGAAGCTCCTGCGCCTTATTTTCCCGACCAACGAAAATAGTTGCGCGTCGACGCCTCTCTGCTCTCGCGGCATACATTACATTATGACTTTCGTGACTGTTTAACGCAAAATGCGCTGGAGTAGAAAAAAAAAAAAAAAAAAAAAAAAAAAAAAGGTACATCTGCTTCCGTGAGCAATTGTAGGTGCTTTTTGTACGTGTATGTAATACATATGTGCTCCTAATTAAAATAGATCCACGAGCGCAAATATAGGAATTCGGAGAAAACGCGGGAGCGACACTGTTTCAGGGGGGGTCACGCGCGCGTAATTATAGCCACGCGGGATGAGCTCACTTGCGCAATGTTTCCTCGATTAATCGGTTTTTAATTGGAACAAAAATAATAACAATAATACCAAAGAGCCTATATATACATGATTCGACTCGCGATGTCTTCCGGATGAATCAGCCGATACGACACACGTGCGCGGGACGCAATTTTTTATTTGTACCTTCGCGGTTTACTGTTTTCGCGATCACCGCCGAGCTAAATTTAATGTTTTTCGTGGTTGTTTTTTTTTTTTTTTTTTTCTCACAGGTACGCGTTATCTCGACGTGATTCAGCTATGTATGAGGAAAAAAAAAAAACCGCGAGTTTCCCCGAGGCCTCGTTTCTGCCGAGAGGCGCAACGCATGTGGAAACTCAAAGGGAGAGGCGGTCCCGAGGCGAACTTTTCGGCGGATATGAGTACCTATTTTACGCGTATAAGGCTATATGTATATAAAAAAGTAATAAAGACCGGCAAAAGCGCTTACGAGCATCTGGTCTGTGTAATGTCGTGCAGCAACAACAGCTTTTATAAAGTATAATGCACACGAGTCCGTGATGGTGATCGTCCGATCGTTGCGTTACATTGGCCGATTTCTCGGAAGTGCGTGTGTAATATAGACCGCTTACAATGTACGCTGCACCACATTCAAGTTTTCTTTCTTTTTTTTTTTTTTTTTATCCACACGCGCGTGGGAGAGCTCGTTACGTGTGTATACACATTTATACGTGCAATTGTGCATTATGCGCGACGATGAGGGGATATCGACGCCCAGTACACGGACGATTATGGAGAGAAACGCCGAGATAAGCGTCTGCGCGAGGGCATTGTTGCGGAAATCGGCTGAAGGCTTATGTTTACGCTGTTCAAAGGAAATTAGTTTTTTTTTTTTTTTTTTTTTACTCAGAAAAATCGGTATCCTTTTTCTTTCACTATTTCGCCAGTGAAAATCTTACTCGCTTGCGCAAAATGAGAAATTTTTACCATTTCAAATTTAAAGACATGATTGCGCCTGATCATTTCATTGATTTTGATTGAATTACTATTCATTGCTAAAATTAAATATGATACTTTGGAAAACGCCGTTGTAGATGAAAGAACCGCTGAAACGCTTTTATTTCCAAGAGACAGCGGTATATATACTACACTTTATCGAAGCTGCCGGTGATTTGTTGCAACGTAAAACACATAGTTTCGAAAAGTCGCTGGTTATTCATAATATTTGTATATTATCAACCCTCTGACGTTTGGCTCTATAACGAACACTTTGCGTTACCCGCAATTATATTTCGAATTGATCACGACCATGTATACGTAGAAAAAAAGCTCCCCCGGGGTAAATCATACTTTGTGCCGCACAGCTTCGATCGGCCGATCGTTTCCGCGTAAATGTGCAAAGTTGCGCCCCACAATATGTATGTTATAGACCAAGAGGGCGAAGGTATAATACCGAGAAGACAATCTGGACATGAAAAATTCAGCCGCTCTTCCGAGCGAACTCAATTGACGCACAACAATGTAAGTATATATACCGTATATGTACATATAAACGCGTATATATACGTATATACCGAGCTTATTCCCTGCCATTACGTATACATGTGCATTATATATACCCACGTGCTGACGTGGAGTACATGATATATGTATACCTACGATTTGAATAGATACGTATATGTACACCCCCGCGATCTAATTTTCCTTACCTAAAAATACGCAACAATGTATAAAAAAGATCAATACTATCTCCGAGGAGTGTATAAACAATGTGTATTTTTTTTTTTTTTTTTTTTTTTTTTTCCTCTCGTCATACATACCTACCTCGGGATGTACGATAATTACACACAGTGTAATGACATGACGTTATAATTACACGGTGGGACGTATACGTGACATGATAAACGCGACATTTCCTCTCTCTGTCTGTTGCTCCTATTTTTTTTTTTTTTTTTTTCCACGAATGCGAGCAAAATGACGAGGTTTTAAAACATCGAAAACAAGATAATAAAGCGCAATTATATCATCATTGCGTAACTATGTATAATGTATACATCTTTCTCTCGTTGTTTCACATATACGACTCTCGATTTCCCGGTAATGATTTACAAGAGTCGCGGCGATAGCACGTTACGATGCGCGTTTGTACCGAAAATTACCATTCGGTTGAGCGGAAAGGAGGAAAAAAGATTGTCTTTTTCCGGGGAAACGAGCAAGCCGGTGCATACATCCGTTGCGTTACACGTATATATGGTTTTTCGAGAAATCAATTTCACGTGTCGTTGCGTCGTGTGATTTTTTTCGACAAAGTCACATGTATTTCTCTCTCGCAAAACGTGCATACGTATATGTATATTATACTTGCGGTTGCGATGAATTAATGGTACACATCGGACACGCTCGTTGAGTAAATTACGTGGCACGTAAGTATCGCAACTATACAACTGAGCGAGTTTTCCTTGGAATTACAACGCTATTAAATTCCTTTCCACGCCTTCGATTATCTCAAATGTAAAAAGAAAATCCATCCACCCTCGCGATTTTTCGCGGGGCGTAAAAAGTTCTTCGGTATGTATGTATATAGTACATTAGCGAAGCGTCCGACTTTACACTCCGGGGCGGAGTGTTCTAGCTCTCGCGAAATCCAATTACATTTTTTTTTAATTTAATTTTATTTTTTTTCGTTTATGATGGGTGGATATGCGTATACGAAGGATTCTTGGAATGGCCGAGCAGAGAGAGGATGCAAATTGCATCGATACGCATCGTCGTCGATGCAGCCCATTATAAATGCCCCGTCGGATGAGGGAGGGACCCGCATGTATAGGCGCTGCTCTTCGCAATTACCCGGCAATTAGTATTGGTACACACACTCGCGTATCCGTTGGATAAAATTCGTCTCGTGTATAATCATATATGCTCCGGTTTTGATTCTCTCGAGAGATACGTATATATATTACACGTTGTTTGTACCTGTGTATTATTATATCGAGTAAAATACTGTGCACTTTTAATCGGCGTGAAATTTGATAGCGTGATGGGCCCGAGGAATTTTTACACTCGCGCGTGGGTCTTTTTTTTTTTTCACAACCGAGTGGCACGCGATATGGCGTCCAACTGTCTCGAACCAGTGGGAGATAACGTTGATCAAAGCCCTGTTGATGAATATCGTGTTTAAAAAAAAAAAAAAAAAAAAAC